TATTATTACTATTAATTGTAATAATTTATTTTGAGGGCCACCAGCCTGAAATGAATTACATACACCAGTTAACATTTTTTGAATTTACGTCGTCTTTATCATTAGGAAATTCTTTTCTTTTTTTTTTTGTTAATGTAGTTCAGATTTTTAATACACTAAGTGAAATTTTGTAACTTGTTTGCTCTACTTTTTCTGCAATAAAGAAAAAAGTGGTGAAATAACTTGCCTTTATTACGTATTTATATTACAGTTGTAGTATTTTATGAATTTTTTAATTTGGCAGGAAAGTTTTGTCTGTTGGGTAGACTTTATTGTATTTATCACAGTAAAACGGAATGTTGCAGTTTTTGTAAATGAAAGGTAAGGAAAGTTTTATTTTAAATTAATGTAAAATTGTTTGGGAATAAATATTAATAATAAAATGTGACGTTGTCTAGGAGAGGAACTAGGTAGTTTTAATTTCAATTGTTTTTTGCTTTATATTTCCAGTGTATTTAATTGAATTATAATTGTGCTATTTTTCGCTATAACAAATAAGAATTCTCAGTCTTAATATTTACATATTTAATGCTAGAAATAAGAAGGTTGCTGTGAAATGAGATTTTTATTTATTAAGGAAATTAATATAATAATTACAATCATTAAATGATATTTCAGCTTAACTTACACCACTTATAATAATAATTTCTAAAGAATTGCAATTGCATTCGTGATCACGATTATTTAAATAATTTGCTAAGTGGAAGTGGTTAGCCTGGGGACATCGACGAATTCTGTACCATGTCGTAAGATAGCTGCGGACGTAGTAGCCACCATGCAACCCCAAAACAGAAGAAACAACAAGGACTCGCTGGAATGTTCTGAAGGTAACGTAGCACAGGCTACGAACATAGCAAAAGCAACAAGTAATACGGATGGCATCGTTACATACCTCCAGCCACGTTCAACTTTCAAGGGGTATTTTACTTTACAATTACCTAGAAACAAATCTATTGCATCTTGCCGAAATCCGTCACTGAAGTTGTTTTTATAATAACGAGTTAAGGAATTAATTCCATCATACAACATACCAACCCTTGTACGTTTACCAGTTCGCGTAAAATCTGTTTTCAGAGCACCCGTACCTGAATACTGAATGCTTATATAATCCGCGTTGTCAGCCCATACCTGTTTAAACAAATATTCAAAATTGGGGTAGTCTTCGGTCGTTTGTAAGGGTTGCAACACTCCCAGTTTTTTTAATACGTTTATCAGAGAACGGCGAGCTAAAATACTCTGAACGACGTTAGTACGATCAAGACAATCGATGCAGTTGGTACGGAAGACGCCCTCTTGTAAGGAAGCCAGAGATCCGTCTCTCATTAACAGAAAATATCCCATTTCGTCTTGGTCGTTAGCAACCCTATCAACTAAAATTGATAATCGGTCCCATCTCATGTGACGACATTCCTTATGAAAATCGAAAGGTTCGTAATGAACAGAGCTGAAGTTTAGACTCTTCACTGTATTCTCAAAATCTAATTGTAATTTTTCTTCCATCCCTTTATGATCGATTAAATCAATCAAAACCACTTTACCGTACATTAGAGTCAAAGATTCCAAATGTTTAGCGCAAACTTGCTTTGCAAGTTCCTGGTCTTCTTCTGTGATTTGAATTGGTGGTTTATACAAGAGATTGGGCGTTTGTCCCCAGAACAACGGGACGGAGCCTCTTAATTGTACAAAACTGTACCTGTCCCCTTCATATTCAACAATTTGTTCTGTTTCTACGAAGTTTCCTACATTTGCATTTTTATCAATACCTCTTTTAAACCATCTGGTTCCTGCTCGGTATATCGATCGTCTTGAAATTATAGACCAAGAAAAGCTTGCTGCATTTATTGTGCATATGTTTATAGACACAAAACCGTGAATTAATGGCAAACAGAATTTATGGTATACTGGGTCGTAAAAAGAGCTAAGTAAGTACTTATTCCAGATGAAACGTTGATCAGCACGTTCTAATAAGGACTGATTTAAGAATGTAGGGTCTGTTTCATGCAATCTTTGCATGGTATGTGATAAATCATATGTGTAACTGAAGTAAAAGTTTGGAGTGTTTAACACTTGTTCTACCATAGTGACATATGCTTGGTTGTCTTCTAATTGTTGTTGGTTTAAGTGTAAGGTGCTCCTTAGATAAGGTATAAGTTCGAAATTAGTTAAGCGCCAAATTGAGTGCCCAGCAATGTGACCTACATGTTCCCGGCCTGTTGCTACAATAAGGTAAGATCCTGCCAAAAGAGGGACACTTCCTAATAAACCATATATTACTTTCCATGTGCATGACGTCGGTATTGACTTGGTGTCGTTTTGTATGCTGAGAAGTTCAGAAATCCTGTCAATTATAAGCACAGCAGATGAAGACTTTGATTCTAAGTAAAACTTATCTTTAGTTATATATCTGTAATAAAAAAATTATTATACACTAAAAAGGAAGGAACTAATTTATTAAAGTATGAAAACTTACAAATTTATATCTTCGTGTACTTTAAAACTGTTCATTTTGTAAGTAAAAATTAAAAATTTGCTATATACAAATAACCTTCGAATTTAGAAAAGTAAATATTTATCCATTTATTTATGTGTCACTGCCTTCTGCACTACGCTGTAGACATCAACTACAAATCGCACATTTTCTTTTTAATTGTTTTATATGTTTTAGATTGCAGTCGGTATAATCAGTTAATTAAAAAAATAATTTACTTGTAAAATAAAAATTCTGTGTTGCTATGAAGTAAGCATTTTATTTAAATCGATTACTGTCAACGAGCTACTTATGTTTCCCACAATACAGAGCTGTATTCTCTGCTATAAAAGCTTCTATGAAGCAGGAGTACAACAGGAACAAAGTAGTTTTTAGAATTTGTAAGGTGTATTGCCAGATTTTCTTAAGTTCAGAACATGGGTCGAAAATTTAGAGCCAGCTAAATCAGCAGGGAGAAGGGTGTTTTTATTTACTTTTACATATATAAAATTGAGTGAATATTAATATGTAACACTCGATTTAACCAAATTAGTAAAGAAATGAATATATTTAACTAACTTAAATATCAATAATTTTTTAAATAATTGCTAATAACTAAAACAAAGAAAAATAGTCTAGCAAAAGTATCTGCTACTTTTGTGCCCATAGATAATGATGTACAATTTTACCATTTTTTCTTTGTGTATCTATTATATTTGATGTACATATAGCCGGTTTTTATTTCAGTCGTGTGAAAGTAGCACGCGATATAAATAATCTGCTAATTCAAACTTTACCAATACAGTTTACGTCGTTTGCGGATTCTAAATATGTAAGAAGCATAATTGTGCGTACACTAGTTATTTAAAAAAAGGAAAACTGATTCGGGACATCATAATTTAATTGATGTCAATTGATTGTTCGTCATTTGTGCTTGAAGATTGAGCGATTATGGTAATCGGAATTTGTCTTTATATTATTTATTAGTAATAACTACATATAATACTTAATTTTTCATTGAAATTATGGCACAGGGCCATTTGTTGTTTCATAGAAATAATATGATCATATGCATCGGCGTTTACTAATGGACATGCCTTAGCGGTCAGAATTGTGGTTTGTGGTACAACAAACGAAAGAGATGGAATGAAGTTTAGGACAATATCCATCTCTCTCACGATTTGCGTTGGCGTGTCATGAAAGAGATAGCACTAGTCCGAAACCATACGCCATCTCCCTCAGTTTTCGAGCCAAGAAATTATTACAATGACATACGGCTAAGGCACGTCCATCAATATATGTCTATGATAAATAATATGTATATTCCATAGATAATATATTCCTTATTTATGACCTTGCCTCAAGGACCATCTCAAAGATATGTCAAAGGCCAAAGATACTGTCAAAGATAGATATATTCAATCCTTTAATTATAATAATTTTTAATTGATATTACTAACACGCGTGCGCCATTGGTGAATGATAAATAATAGTATGTTCATACTAAAGCCATTGAAAAATTAAGTATTGTAATTATCATAGACATATATTAATGGACGTGGCTTAGCCGTATGTCGTTGTAATAATTTCTTGGCTCGAAAAGTGAGGGAGATGGCGTATGGTTTCGGACTAGTGCTATCTCTTTCATGACACGCTCACGCACTATCGTAAAAGAGATGGATATTGTCCGAAACTTCGTTCTGTCTCTTTCTTTTGTTGTACCACAATTCTGACCGCTAAGGAATGTACATTAGTAAACGTCGATGGTAATTATCACTAATATTCATACAAAAATTCCGGTTACCGTAATGGCTTACTCTTCAAGCACAAATGATGCACAATCGATTGTCGTCAATTAAATTATGATATTTTTATTAATTTTTGAATAAATCGATATTATTTCTGCCTGCATTCGAAACAATTTTCTTTTTTTTATCAAAACTGATGGACGCACTATTGCGCTACCTACAGATTTAGAACTAGCAAAGGACCGACAACTCATTTGCAGAGTTTAAATAAGACGATTATTGATATCGGGTGCCATATTCAAAGGATTGTTCACAAACATGTAATACAGCCATCAATTAGATCTACTCTCTTCTATGTTCTCTCTTGTCTATGGTTACAATTTACAACGGTTTTATATACTCAAAACAATTTGCGTTTTTTAATTTGCAAAGGTTCTACACTATTAATTTGGTTAATATAATGGTTCAGAGTAACGAAGAAGCGACTAAATTAGTAGCTCCTACAGTGGAGCAAATAAATGCTGATAGATTAACTCAGGTTGGTAAATAAAATGATTTCTATAGTATAACCTTAAAATTGCAAATTTTTGATTTTTAAGTTAGCGGAAAAATATTGGGCCCCCCATACATCCCATGAGCACCTACCTTTCGATTCAGATGTTGTGGAAGATATTTATTTGGTTGACATTAAGGGTAGCAAGTGTGTATTATGTTTATTTTTTGTATACGTTAGACTTACGTTTTGCGTTTATTTTAGCTTTTCAGTCCGTAGAATAATGGTTTTAGAATTCAGTCAGTATTTAGAGAACTTTTTATGGCCAAACTATGGCCCCAATGCAACCCATGCCCATATGATGTCAATAGTTGCAATGTTGAATGAAAAATTTCGTGAGAGAGTGCCTCCTTGGCAAGTAAGTGATTGTGGTTTTTCAACTCAGATTTATTTATTTCTGTAATTGTTTCTCCTCGCAGGTATTTAAGAAGAACCACGAATATTTTCCCAATTTCTTTCATCAAGTGTTGAAAGCATGTTTAGAAGATGAGTTGACAGTAACATTGAAAGAACAAACAGCTCTTTTAGTTTTCCTCAATCACTGTTTTAACAGTATGGAAGTTGCATTATGTAGAGAGCAAGTTAAAAGACTAGTTTCATTGTCAATGTGGGTTTCATTGCAACCTTCTCGAAGAGAACAAGAATTTAGGCAAAATCCTAGATGGAGAAAATACTGGCGTGCAATTCAGAAAAGGGATAAACAAGAAACCTCAGAACAGTTAGAAAAGCTCAATTGGGAAAGAACATTTTTACAAAAGCTTATTTTAAGGTTTCTTTCTATTTTGGAAACAATTCCATATGAGGGATTGCTATTAGTCGATAAGGTATTTTATTAATTTCAATGTTTTTACAGTTTTAATTGTTTTTATTATTATTTTTGCCAGCTTCATTACTGTGAACGATTTTTGGAGTTAATTACCGATTTGGAAGCTCTGTTGCCTACAAGAAGATTTTTCAATACTGTTCTTGATGATTGCCATTTGGTCGTTCGATGCCAATTATCGTCATTAATTAAAAGGCCAGAAGGTCATCTCTTCAGCCAGGTGAGTCTTTTGAGAATTACAATAAGTCTACATTCTCTATATGAACGATTTATTTTTTTTTTGTTATTGATGGGACAGAATAGATAGGAAAAATCGTATTCATATTTTTGTTACTTACTTTATTAATTAGTTTGGTATAATACAAAAAGTGTATATGTCAAATAATTATTAAGGCGAAAACACCTCTCATAATAATATAAACTTAATATACGTATAACTATGGTTTCATAGTTTAGGTTTTTTTTTAAAGTTTGAACTTGTACACAATATCATATAAAAACAGCTGCAATGTGCTTATAAAAATTAAGTAAATAGCCTTTGGAATGCCACAAAATAATAGGGAATGTACAAGATAAATATCAATCCTACCCACAAAATAATAGGAAATGTACAAGATAAATATCAATCCGATAATAGCTGCCTCTGTGCAATTAATTAAATATTTCGTTAGTTAACAATATTTGAGCTCACTAAAAATAAAACAAAATACAAATTATTTGTCAATGGCATAAAAGAACACGTTTTTCAGCTCGAAAACGAAATTTACAAATAACAAACCAATAAAAAGTCATGGCAAATATTTCTTTTAAATACAATAAATACTTCGAGATCTATTTCCTCCTTTCTAATGCAACTCTACTACTATTTAGTAAATTCCCGTGTTCATTGCGGTCATTTCGTCACCCCATTCGCATTCGGGCTCCGGTCGACAGCAAGAACAGGCACAAACGCTGTAACAGCACGTTTTTCTAATGAGGTATGACACGTGACGTTGATTGAAAACGCAAATGTACAAAATGAGCGGCCCCTGGAATGTGTTGACGATGACGTAACAGTAGACGAGACCGTCATACTTCGAAAAAGACAACAGGAAGAACAACCATGCTATGGTCATCTCCAAAAATAATAAAAGAAACATGCGAAAGCTGTAAAGAACAAAAACGCGACACTTAGCAAAACATGAAATGAACAATTCACAAGGAAAGTGGGGAAAGGGAAATACTCAATTAAAATTGTGTTAAACGTCACTGCTCTTGCTTTCCCTATTGATACTTCATCTTCAATCTTTGCACTTAATAGAAAAATAGTGAACAAATCAATCCTCCGAATTATTAACAAGAAAGAAGTTTTATTTTTTGAGAAATACGCAACTTAATCAAGTACAAAAATACTTATCAGAGCCCTTTTCCATATTCTGTTTTCGTCAGGTCTAGATACAGAGCATAGTTTAGTGCTTGCTTGGGTTATATATGTAATTTGGTATATTTTATGATAAGTGAATGATAAAAAATGACCTATTTTCTGGATTAAGATATAAATCCAATTAAAAATGAAAAAAATTATTAGTCGAAATTATTAAAAGCATTCATCACCCCTAGAAGACTTAAACACATTACAGAATACACAAGGCCCCAAAAAATTCTAAAAGAAGTTTAGCCACTGAGGTAAGAACATGATTTTTACCTTGATTCTGTGGGGTTAAGTTGGATACTATTTTTGGTAAGATTAATTTATATCAAAAATAGTGGAACTCAATTCAGTAAACACTAGAGTTACTACCAGACACCTCACAAGAGTATTTTAGAGCATCAGCACAGTTGAAGCTGTAGAAAAGCTCTAATATAAGATATAATAAAGTTCTAGTGGACAATTTAGGGATTCAGGAGGACCATTAGCAAAATTTAAATCATTATGAAGGAAAATATTAAAACAAAGCTACACATGCAGTTTAGATGAGTTTAAATTCTCCTTCACCTGTGTTTTAATTTGTGATGTATCCTGCCGTAAGTATTCATCCTGTTGAGTACTTTAACAGTGGCGGCGAAGAAAAATACGTTTACAAGAATTGTAAAAGCTACAGGTACAAAAAATATTATAATTCCTAAGGAACCTGAAGAAAAAAAATAATCAAAATTACGTATTTAGATTGAAGTAAACAGAAGCAAAAGGGTACTTACCTATTGCCTCTTGTTCTCCCTCAAATGTTAATCTTCTAACTTGAGGATAATCTAACGCAAAATGTCCAAAAACTGCAAGGAATCCCATGAGAATTGTACATGACCAAACATAAATTGAATAATAACAATATTTCTTTTTATCCGTTATCCTTAGGAACACGTTTCTGGATCTGTGATGAATATGAAACAATAATTAATATATAATCAGAAGAAATAAATGGCAATTTGATATACCTAAACGTTTTCCAAATGTAATATCCTAAGCTGTTGATCCAGAAGAAAGCTGCCAATAGGGCTATATAACAAACAATTTCTAAAAGTAAAAGTATTATTAAATTAAACCTTTACAATTACCACATAAATCAAAAACTGTACCTGCAATAATTATGCTAATATGATTGGTAAAAATTGTCAACAATCTGGTCATATCTGCTGCTTGATAAATGATAAGGCAAATTAGTAGAGTTGTGATTATGTTACCTACCAGATCTCTTAATGTGGGCATAATAAAGTAAACGATTGCAATTATAAGAAAACATGCTATGTTGACAGCATGTGTTACAGGATTGATTATATTGAGCAACAAAAATTTTGTACTTGTCCAGTCAGTTTTATGGTGTTCTGGGGCACAGACGAGGGCATATTCACTCACCAAATTTTCATCAATTCTCTATAACTTGTTTTATATGCATATATTTTTAACATAAATGTGCATAGGTTTACCTTTTCCAAGCAATATTTTCCTGGGACATAGTCTTGAAACATTAAACCTTTTGAGTTTTCTTGTTCTTCTTTCATTTCTTCTTTCTCCTCATCATTTTCTTTTTCAAAAAACAAATAATGGCGTAAGACACCATTTGGTAAAAGCTTAAGTACATCACTAGAATTTTGATAATGATAAATAGGCCATTTTTGTGTTGATCCACAGTCTGGATTACCATTTAATATTCTGAAACAGACATTCATTAATTTTATTTTGCTCTTATCATCTACCTTTGTATGGTTTTACTTGTATTCAATTCCTGTCAATAGTCTACCATCCTTAGATGTAAATGTTGGATACCACATAGTCTCATTAGTCTGATTTATGTGCGTGCAATGATTTTTGACCATTACTTCATATGACTCACAACACTTATTAACAGCAATAACAGGCTTTTCAGGTAGTTTTGGTCCTAGTTCGGCTGCCATGAGTGTCACATGTACAGATATTATAATTAACCCTCTAACTCGATACATTGTCTTCGTTTATTCAAGTTTATTCTGTTCTAACATTAAATCGATCCTTATCAATAATTAATACGTGTAGTTTCAATAAAATTCGAGCGGTCATTTGATACCTTGTAAGGGATATCACCTACATGAGTTTATCATTTCACTAACAGGCACTTGAGTTTATTATTATTGTACATTGTAAATAATCGTTTTTATTACCGGTTTTTAATTATTAATTAGTTACTTCTTATAATTATTTTGTTTGTGCGATTTTATTACTGTTTTGGTTCGTTAATTGTAAGGTTATGTTACAGCGCAAGCAAGAATGTAGTGTTTACCAACACTAAATATTACTAACGGATTTTACCTTTAAAAATGAACAATTTAAAAAAACAATTATTTAAATTTCTTTTTTAAATCGATTCACAATTCATTTAAAACTTTATTTGTGATATGTGTATAAAGCTGAATCTTAACTGTTTTGTATGTGTAATGTTAGTTTCCAGAGATGAATCATGGAATCTATGACCATGGATTCATGAAATCATCAAGTATCATAATTAATCAAAATTCATCATACATACACAGACATCATTTTGTTTTTTAGTAATTTTTTCAATTGTAATTTAAGAACATACAAAAAATACATGGTCATTTTTAGGACTTTATTTAACAAAAATGAAAAGCCGTGTTTCTAACTTTATAGGTTTATATGTAAGACTTGTTTTCTGGCACAAATGGCTGATTTCCATCCTCTTCGTCTATTACAGTACGACATTTTTGGGGACAATTAACACAGAAAAATCCAAACATACCTAAACCTCGCAAAGTTCGTTTTCTTAATATAACGAGTACCAGAAAGAGTAAAACTGCTTGAATAAAATCGTTAAAATAAATTACGTTCCTAAAACATAAATAAATTGATTAATTAAAATTTGGCCATAAAAAAAATAACACCACATACCAAACGTATTTCACGTATTCATGAATATCATTCATAAAAAATGCTAATGTCTCTATCATCCATGTAATACCCATTATAAGAAACATATAAAATATTAGTAAACATCTAGAAAGAAAGAAATGTTTAAAGTTGGAAACGAAATATTTCTGTTTAGGTGTCATCCACCTTTTTGGACCCCTCCCTCCCTCTTCGTCACGCTAAGTCAAACTTTTAACAAATATTATGTTACAAAAGCTAACCCCAATTCTTATAAACGACTTTTTGCGATAAAAAGTAGCAATGAAAATTTTAAGAACCACCAAGTTAAATAAAACGTCAAAGTAAAATTAATGAGCTGTGAAGTTTCACCATGTAGGGGGTTTGAACTTTGGTTTTCATCTGATTTTTTAATACTTAGGGTCAAATTTGTTCCATTTCTAATATTTAACAATTTCACCAAATCATATTTTGTAGATGTGTCTTGTACAATTAGTTATTTACTATTTTTTGAGCAACGCTACTTCTTTGTGAAGTGAAGTGAAGTGAACCAGTTCTTTCCCCCTATCAGTCATTATGAGCTCGAAACTGCATCATTGCTTGGGGTGATCACTTTTGTGAACAATACTATGACGTAGTAGCGGCCATCATTCTTTCCTAATTGTTGCCGTTGTCGGCCATCATTCTTTTTCAATTGTTGCCGCATTGTCACTGATGTCGGCCATTATGTTTTTTTAATAGACGTATTGTAATTAATGAATGAAATTTAAAGGAATTGTTATGCAACACATCATACACTTCAGCATAAGAAATTGCTGATAATAACTTTCATTTACGTAATACTACTTTGCCCTGTGCTGACAGCACTCATATTTTTTTTATACAATATTATTCGGGAATCCGAACCTCCTTAAATATTTCTCGGAAAACATATCGGATCTAATTTTTTCTGTTGGTAATTGATACTCTTAATTAGGTGTCGCATTCAGGGTCGGATCTTCCCTTAATGCTGCTATACTTTCAGAATACTTTTTGACTTTCCGTTATAAAAATTACTAATTTTTCAAAATTGGGAAGTTATTGATTTCGAGTATTCATTAGATCTAGACGTTTTAAAATCATAGCTAAAGCTCAAAAGCTACGCTAATCAGTTGATCCGTTCGAGAATATTGTTGACGAAAAGTTTTTTGAATCGCGTGCAGTAAATCGTGTCGTTATCGCACTGTGTGAAAGTGGCCTAAAGTTCGCACTGTTTGCAGCATGTCGCACAAGTTAACTCACTTGCATCGTAGAACTACTATTCTTCTTGTCACGTTATTGGGGTCCACGTCATTCCATAATTTTTTCACCGTATATAAAATAATGGCAGAAGTGGAAATTAACAAAATTAATACTGGGCCGTAGACAAAAACCATTGTGGACTTTGATCCTGTAAAATTACAAAAATGTCCATTTTATTGATAATTTTGTAATAGATAAAATACGAAAAATTCGTGTATCGTAAATTTAGCGACTTCTTTTAAATTATCTCATATAAACAAACTTCCCTTTGATACACCCGCGGACACCGTAAAAATGCCACCCCATTACCCATATTCTACGCAAAGTGGATGAGGGTTTAGAATACTTTTTGACTTTCCACTGTAAAAACTACTAGTTTTTCAAAATTGGGAGATTATTGATTTTAGACCGATTTTCGAAAATCGAGTATCCATCAGATCTTGGATGTTTTGAGATCAAAAGAAGCTAACGTTCAAAAAACTGCGCCGTATACCGTAAATCCTATCAAAATCAGTTGACCCATTCGAGAATATTGCTGACGAAAAATTTCGAAAAAAGTTGTGTTCTTTGGAAACAATATTCGAATCGTTAGTGAAATCGAGATTTGGTACTTAACCATCATGTCCAAATATTGAAAAAAAGTAATTTGAAACGATTATCGGATTTTTAAGCTCTAATAGCTTTACTTGTTAATTTACACTTTTTTAAAATATTTTCTAATAGCGTAAAAAAATCTCAAGTCAGGGCATTTGCCATTAGTGCCACTAGTGTAAATCCACCGCTGAATAGGTGTTTAGAGCAAGTTCGTCACTAAAATTGTAAGAAAGTTAAAAAAACTAATACAATTCATTGATTAAATGATTAGGAACAAACTTTTACCCGCGGTTTCACCCTCGTTGATACGTGTCAAAGATTATCGAAAATACAATAATTTCATGAATTTGTCCTGACCGAGATCATCAGGATGAAACTTAAGTTTCTAATTTTCCACCTTAAACATGCACTGTGTAAAATAACAAAAAATACCGTACTTCTTTATCGAGATGAAAAGAAAATTTTCTAAAAATTATTAAAAATCGCTTCAGAATTATCATGCTAGAAGACAGGCTATGTTCTTTAGTAATACTTAACATTGAAATCGAGGTCATGATGAAAATGGACATTACAAACATAATTTTTGTTTTTTCCCAAAAAAAAGGCAAAGAAAGTTTGCGTCCCCACTCATCTTAAAAGTAACTTATTTTTTAAAATTAGGTCAACCAGATTTGCTTTGTTTCACATTGTATACTTATGAATATGATGATTGTTTAAAATCATTTTTATTTCATAAAACGCAGGGAGGCTGTTTTAGTTTTACGCATAACAACAGAAAAAATGATAGAAAAATTAAAGAGCCCGGGAATAAGATGTAGGGAAGGAGCGAATATAAATATAGGATATGAATAATTAGAAGAACTATCTGATTTTCGGTACGTAGGAAGTCAGATAACTCAGGATGGAAGGAGCAGTAGAGATATAAAACAAAAAATAGCGTAGGGTCGAGTCGCTTTTATTAAAGAAGTCGCTTCTCTGCTTGTAACGGTTTATTTAGAAATTCGAAAAAGATTATTAGAGGTGTATGTCTGGAGTGCGGCGTTATTCGGGTGCGAAATATGGACGGTGGCTGCGGCGGAAAACAAACGGTTCCAAGCGTTCGACATGCGGTGTTATAGATGAATGATGAGGATACAGTGTATTGAGAATAAGGTAAAAAATGAGGAGGTATTAGAAAAATAGGAGAATAGAGGTCGCTATCAGGGGACAACAATGTTACAATTTGACTGGGTGCTCAGCAAAAAAAAGTTCTCATCATAATACTATAAATGACTTAAAAAAAAGGTCATTAATGAAAATAATTAGAAAAATCAAAAAAATCAAGTTCGGCTGCTCTCATCAAAATACTATAAATGACTAAAAAAAAATATCATTTCGGCTGTTCATTTACGAACTTGAACTGTTTGAACCGGGTTATTATCTGAATCGATTGGAATTGACCGGGTGCCCAACTCAATCGAGTGGGTGCCCGGGCACCCGTGGACCCCCCTTGTTGCGCCTCTGGTCGCTATGGAAGTCAATAAGAAGTAGGGGAAACAGGTTGGTGGGATACCTTCTCAGGCATGAAAAGCTAGTTAGAGACATATTAGAAGTAGAAACAGGAGTTAAGAGGAGTAGAGGTAGGCTTAGATTAAATTGCTGTTCGCAAATAGTTACGGGTGGGAAATGTGGGAAATGTGAAAATTAGCTAAGGATTTAAAAAAGTGGAGGTGCCTGTCCAACCAGGACTGGCGATCTTTTGATGATGATTTCATAATGTGAAAAACTTTCCTAAACATCGAAATTATTATTTTCTGTCTTTATCTATCAATTTTCATGTTTCTTCAATTGCTTTTATTCGTTTTGTTTATAAATTCATTCACAACTAGTCAACTACCTCAATTTCTACGTGTATGCTATTCACACTTTAGTAGATTTATTCACACTTTTAAAACTAGAAACTTTAAATCTATGATTAGACACATATAAGCTCAAATAGTCAAAGCTTTGTATTAAACATTTTTAAATTTTAGTAGACCTCCATCAGCAAGTTACACAGGGCCTGGAAAAATCTTAGTCCGGCCCTGCTTATATATAGAGAATATAAATAATAAGTACTTTGTTCGTGTTGTCTTTTCCTACCGTAAACAGTTCTGTTTAAAAACTGCAGTGTCGAAAAACTGATTATTGCCGTTGCGGTTGATGACAATCAATAGAAATTCAAATTGAAGAGGTATAGAGGATAGCAAAAATTCGAGTTAAAGGGTTTGAAATAAGCGTAAAACAATATTCGAGATAGAAAAGATTTCGAGTTACAGAAATTCGACAGTATATAGATTAAGTACTTACCAAACCAACATGTCATATGTAAATGATCCAAGACGTCCTCATCAATACCTGGATTGCGAGTCAAAAGGGCGGAAAGCAGCAAAATTATGGGCGTACCAAATCCATACACTGAGTATATTACGAACCATTTTACAGTGCTCCCGTAAAACATCCTATAATTACATAGAAAATATGTAATAGGTATTTTTAAAAATTTTATTTATTAAACAAACACGAACAAAATAATAACTCAATACAACACTAATGCACATTTTAACGCAGTAGTAGTTCATCGTTTTTTCTTCACAGTAATTGATAACTGAATATTTTATTTCTAATGTTTCCCCTTTTCAATTTCGTTCTTGAAATTTGGGAAAGATGAATTAAAAGTATCGGTGTGTGTTTTTATGTTTATTCGCAGCGGCTTTTTTAATCGATTTATTAAAAATAAGATTGTTAAGATTGATCAAAAACTATTTTTTCAGCGTTGATTATCCCTAAATCCTTATTTTCAGCAATTCTTTAACTATTAAATTATTTGTTGTAACTTGTGTAAGCTCTTATAAAAATATCACTTTATTTTGATGTATTTGCATTCAATTTGATTTCGTTTCATTTACATATTTCATCCATGTCCTTTTCTAATTCAGTAGCATCATTCAAACATAATTCTCTTAGGAATTTTAAAACCATCAGCGTACATATTTAAATTTTGCATTGTTACTTTGATTAGTTCAGTGATTTATAAAAACTGTAAAAAACAATAGCTAAAAGATAACACTGAGATTTCAGAGGGACATCACTAGAAGGACGTCACTTAAAAAACTGCAAATCTTATCATATTAATATGTATCGGTTAAATATTATTTCATTCATTTTAAATGATTTTGTATAACATCATAATATTCGGTTTTTTTTATATTATATTAATGGTTTACACTGTCAATGACAGTTTTTGTATCAGTTTAACTTGAATCAACCCACTAATTATTTTGGATACAATTTAATCTACGTTTCAGTAATTTTATATTTTATAACGTATACGAAAGGATGGACCTTGGCTGCAGATGCCTAAACATTGAATAGTATGAGTTCGCCAAAATAGTTTTGCAATTTTGTTGCTATTTTTTTCCCAAAAAAATGAGGTAAAAAAAAGGTAAAAAATGAAGCTATGTATTTAGGCAAAGGTTTTTTATTTATGTGAAACCAAGATAAATGAAAAATCTTTGCCCCATACATATCTTGATTTTTTACTGTACAGTTTTGCAATAATCTAACTTTAGATTTATAGGAAACTATAGGGTTGTTTGGAAAGTCATTTCGTTTTTTCCCGACAGAGGATTTAATTGTACAATGCTACACCCACCATATTCTCCAGACCTGGCACCATCGGATTATTATTTGTTCCGGTCACTCCAAAATTTTTTAGACGGTAAAACCTTCACCTCAAATGAGGAGGTCAAAAACTTCCTCGATCAGTTTTTTGCCATCAAAGACCAAAAAATTTATGAGCGTGGAATTATGCTACTACCAGAAAGATGGCAAAAAGTGTTGGACCAGAACGGTCAAAATATATAATTTAATAAAGTATTTGTTTATTATACGAAAACTGTCTTTCATTTCCACAAAAAAAAAACGAAATGACTTTCCGAACAACACTATAGGTTTTACCGTGGCTCGCTCGCATATTGATGTCCTAAATACGTGTCAATGGTGAAACGACCACATAAAACATTTTTTTTATTCCTCGGGAACAGTATTTGTTTATGGATAAAAGGTACCCTATTTCCTTTTCTATACCCTTTACAATGTGTGTACATGATGATCGGTTGGGTACTTAGGGTGTGAAATCACTCACATTCGCATTTATAATATGAGTTTTGATTAGGAAACAAATTATTTCTGACCGATCTACTACGAAAAAGTCATAAGCGAAAGTATAACAGTACAATTAGTTGCCGATAATACTATTTTTCTCATCAATTGGATCATATTCGATATTCTGCCATTTGCAAAATTTTTTTTATTGATTGCGGATCTCGGAAATTCGGAGCCCAATTAATTTTTCTTGATTGCCTTCTTTGCGTCACCTTGGATTAGCCTATGGCTGAGCCACTGTGAACAGCGAAATTTTGCGCGTCAAAATTTGGAAACTGTTAATGAAGGACTCGAAATTACGTCATTTCTTTCGATTTCACACAAACATATTTTCGTCAAAACATATGCGACCTTTGCCGCGCTTTTATCATATAAATTGACTTGAACCCAGTGGTGGATCTTCGAGATTTGGAGCCCCAAAAATACACAACTACAATAAGGGACCACTTGATGGGCACAGTGCATCATTTGCGCCACCTTAGATTTTTCGCTATAATTGTTATTTTTAGGGTTCCATATCTTAAAAGGAAAAAGGGGACTCTTACAGTCCGTTTGTCTGTACGTCGAGACCCTTTTTCTTACTAACGCTTGGAGTTATCAAGTTGAAATTAATATGAAACGCTCAGATTTGTAATCCCTTGATGCTGTGAAAAAATCAAACTCATATTTTGACAATCGTAAGGCAATCAAAACCTATAGGGTACTGCCGGTTGACATGAAATTTGACACGAAGCAATGTCTTGTAGCACAAGTAAAGGAAAAAATCCGAAAACCGTAAATTTGTAGTCACATCACAAAAAAAGTAATTATACTTTTAGGAAGTAATTATAATAGTGTAATTATACTTTTAGGAAGTAATTATAATAGTGTAATTATACTTTTAGGGACTGATTTTAGGGGGGAACTTAAGACATACTCAGAAAAAGAGGGACAAATCTTCGAGAGTCGATTTCTGTAACGGACGAACTATTTATAACACAAGTTTGTATGGAACCCTTATACAAAACGTATACTTACATAACTTTTTGCAAAACGTGAAAAGAAAGTATGTTCAGCCAGAAAAATGCTATTAACAAAAATAGATAAAGTCCTGTAACAGCATATACGCAATAATCTCCCGGAAAATCGTTGTATAATTGTAAAACTGCCATAATTGTGTAAGCCACTGTCAGTGAAAAGATTGTTATAATGATGCATTTACCCTGTAAAAGAAAAAAATTGAATGTAGTATAAAATTTTTCTATTGTACCACTAGTTGAACTCGTCCAAGTAATATTTTTGAAGTGAAACTTCTTTGAGAGTAAAATCTCAAGGCAATAAACCGACACGTTTCGCAACGTTTCGTCTCGCGAAGCGACAGGCTATGAGAATAGAAGGGCGCGCATGCGCATATCGGTATTACCGTCAGTAGTTAGTGACCGGCATCTCATATATTATAGTATAATGTATATTCATTATANAAATGACGTGAACAAATTTTTATTCCGGAATTCACTTCTTTGATACCTACTGCTTTCATCCAAGCTTCTATTAGTTTACTTTTTTCTCTAATTTTCCGAATATATTTTTTACATATATAAAACGGTTAGTTTTTATTGGAAATTAGTTAATGTAGGTGAAGGGTGAAGATCTATGTCTGAAGTGCAATTGCAGTTTTTCACTGAACATATTAACTTTTTATTTGATTTAACTTTAGAAGAAAACTTCGTCGACTCCATCATCAAAAAAACTTTTACTTTTTTAACGTGTTCCTATGTGAATTTTTCCCTCATTAAATTTATAAATTTTGCCACCAGATGGTGTATGACTGATCCCAATACTATAGTGCTAAATTAATGTTTTGGTTATATCTGTGCAGTTATATTACAGTAAGTGTATTACATTAAATGTTTATTTAACAACAATTAATATTTATTTAAGAGTGAGTATTATAGTGTGTTAATTCTAATTCCTTGTAGTTATTGATAGTTTACGGTTTCTTAAGAACTTGGAAAAAAAACGCAAGCGAAAAAAATTTGACCACTTTTTTGTTATTTGACCATTTTAATAAATAAATATAATAAAAACGTATTAAAGTAATACTCCTTAGGTGGACTAAAGATAAAATATGTTGAAAAATATAAATCCTGAAAATTCTTGTACTCTCTCTTTCACCAATCATTACTTATTCGTTATAAATGTGTAGAGATCGCCAAAGAAGTTTCACTTCTTTCACGTTTACTGAGTTGCACCTGTTTTTTTTTACTCTATCATTAGATGGAGCGGTTCAAATTAATATACTTACTAATAAATCTTTCAATGTTGGAACCGCTAAATAAATCAAAACAATTGCCAGTAGTAAAAAAAGAGCTATTGCAGAACATGTTGCTTTTATATAATACGATATGTTATTGGGATTATTTTCGGGGGCGGTTTTACATATTATAGCTGCCTCTTCTGATTCATCATCTGTTTCGTTAAGTCTTCCTAAGCAATACCTAAATTGTTTTTTAATATTACGAACATGAATTAAAAATGAAAGAATTTTTTAGGTCGATGTAATTTTTGAAGTTTCTTACATGTCTGGGACAACATAAATGTCTACGAAGTTTTCTAGTGTAATAATTAAATAGTTATGCTCGTCTAGGGTAAAATTATACGTAGATATGTCTTTCGGGTCCAAAATATACGTTTCTGCACATTTAAATTCTGCTACCAATTCCGTTTCGTCTGCACAAGTGCTGTTCATCGTTATCAAATTTTCACCTTCGCAACATTTTCTTCTTTCCATCATTTGTACAGATGAGATTATGAGGAGCTCAAGAATAATTGTCTTCCACATTTTTCTGAAAAATGAATAAAATAGTAATACGCGCCTAACACTGTTCTTAAAAAGATATTAGAATTATTTTTTGGTGGATCCTATAGGAAAGGGATGGCGAACCAATGGCACGCGTACCATTAGTGGCACGCGTACCATTAGTGGCACGCGACACAATATTTTGGGCACGTTACTAATATCAATCATAAAGTCTAGTTCAATATGGATCCAAAACTTTATTGAAACAAGGAAACTAATTGAAACAGAAAGATTGGCAGGTAATACAAATGAAAATGCTAATAACAAAATTTTGGAAACATGAACAACTTTTAATTGTTTGAAGAAGCTGGCTTATGCTATTTTAACAATGTTTTTTCCTCAACCTATGCCTGCGAGTCATTATTTTCAGAGATGAATAACATTAAAAACTCGGTTAGAAATCGTTTGACAGATAACTCCAGTTCAGCATGCATTCTGCTAAAAGTAACATCTTACAACCCTAACATAAGTTATTTGTCATCTAATCTGCAACAACAAAAGTAACACTAATTTTACTTTAATTTAAATTACACGTA